CTCTCCCTCTCTCCTTCCCTTCCCCTTTCAAGATAAATAAATAAAATCTTTTTAAAAACTTAAAAAAAAAGATGTGGTGTATATGTGTGTGATTATGTACACATTGGTGTGTGTGGTGTATACATACGTGTGCATATATATATACACATACAAAAAATTAAATGACATTTAGAGATGTCAGAAAATAATTTTCAAATGGTATGTATATACACACATACATACATACCACATATACACAGGGTGGGGCAAAATAGGTTTATAGTTGTTCATATAGAAAATAATACAATTAATAAATAATAATACAAGAATAAACTCTGTGTTTCACATACTTACAACTGTAAACCTACTTTTGCCCCACCCTGTATAATTCGGCCATGAAAAAAGAGGAAATCCTGCTACTCATGACAACATGGACGGACCTTCAGAGCATCATGCTAAATCAAACAAGTCAGACAGAGAAAGACAAACACTGTATGATCTCAGTTCTAGGTGGAATCTAGGGAAAAAACCAACCCTGGAAACAAGTAGAGGGGCTGCCAGGATTCGGGGTCTGAAGCAAATGGTGAGATGCTGCTCAAAGGGTGCACTTCCAGTTATAAGACTAACAAGTTTGAGGATCTAATGTATCTCGTGTTGATTATAGTTAATAATAACATATCGTACACTTGAATATTGCCAACAGAGAGGATAGCAAATGTTCTCACCATAAAAAGAAATGGTAACTATATGATGGGAGAAGGTGACAGTTAATACTCTGGTGGTAATTTTTTGCAATTTATAAATGTGTCAAATCAATCCATTGTACACCTTAAACTTACACAGTGTTATACCAATTACCTCTTCATCAAGCTGGGATTTTAAAAAGAAAATATTTCATTTAAACAGTCTATTGATCAAGAGTTACCATTCAACACTATTAAAGAATAAAATAAAAATTCAATTTTTTATTTTAAAACTCTTTTCAAATATTTTATACGTGTGAACATGATAACATTCTGTTTCTGTTATTTTTTTTAATTTAGTTATTTTTCAAGTACAGTTTTCTGTTTCTGTTATTTATAAATTAAATTACACTTAGAGATGTCAAAAAATCATTTTCAAAACCTAATAATAAACCTAATTAATAATAAACCTAATAATAATAATAAAGTATATTTCTATAAAAATATTATATCATCTCATTAATGACCCAAGGAGATATTTACTCCTTTCATTCTTCATTTGCACATTTAAAGTAACCAAATTAATTTTGTTGGCCTTCAAAGGACAATGTTAGTTACTCCTTCCAGCTGCCATGTTTTTAACTTTAGTTACTTTAAATAATAGTAGTGACAACATACAAAATCTGTATACAAAAATACAAGTACTAATAAGTCAGTGACAGAAAGGAGGTGATAGTGAGGCACCAGATAAGGGGAGTTAGGATGGCATTGGCTACCTTTTAAGAACGGTTCTCATACAGAGATGCAGGCTGTCTGCTAAACAAGTTAATTTTAGCCAGTGGATGTGAATACTCTGTATTCTCAGACCAGTGGCAACTCTGCTGAAAAAGAGCCAAAGTTTTCCAAACAGAGTGATCCTTGTTGTCTGTCTAAACTGACCAGCTCTTTTGGATTTATTTTCCAAGGAGGGAAGGTTTTCAAAGACTGGGTAGTAAGAAAAGTCTAACCTGTGAAATTGGATCAAAAGCATAAACCTATCAAGATATAGCATTAAACCATTACAAGATAGAGAAATTAACATGATAACAATAACTGGGTATAGTCTCTTGCTTATTTCATTCACTGTTTTTCTTTATATTGAAATCTGTATGGAAATATAAAGAGTTGCAGACAATAAATCTGCAGAGCTCTAATATATATATATATACATATATATTTGCAATAACATAGTCATTATGACTAAATATTTCTTGTTAGCTACTCTGAATTGTTTTAACTAGTTATTTGGCATATGGAAAATAACTAAATGTTCTGGCATTGTGTTACTTTTTTGTATTTCTTTTCAGATTTATAAAGTTTAAAAGGGAGGATAAGCATTGTAAATATATTGCAATGACATGCAATTTCCTTTAAAGCCAAATGTATGGAACAAAAATAGTCAGCAAATATTTACTGAAATGAATTAGGTGCTACATTATGGATACAAAAATAGGGTGACTAGTATCCAAACTTTATCTGAATAATTTCTGTTGAATTTGATGTCCACCTATCTTTGAAATGAAAAGAACCATTAAACTCAAGAAGCATTTAAAAAATGACAAGTCTATTGCTGTCTGTGTTTCAAGGGAAATTCAAATATAACATTAAAAATTCACATTTGGGGCTATGTTTCTATGTACTTTGGTTGAACTCTCCAAAGCCACTCAGGAGTCATAAGAAAAAGGGATTAGAATTAGAACTAAAGAAAGGCAGTATAAAGGTAGCAAAAAAAAAAGAAAGGAAAACCAGGCTCATGAGGGTTAAAGGCCCTTTTGCTGCTCTTGGCAGAAGGAACAAAGTAAAAGGCAATCTCCATGCTAAGGAAAATGCAGGCATGAATTAGTGCTGAATAAAAATTGGTAAATATTAGCAGTTTCTTTATAAACATCTCCCCTAAACATGCTCTGTTTAATGATTTAGGGTACAAAAGATATAACCAAAGTAGAAGCCATAAAAGAGGCTTTCATACTAGGGAAATAATTTATACAACAAACACAAGTGTAGTCATTCCAGCTGGCATGCTGCTATCCATCTTAATTATTGCAATAAAGAACCATTGGCTATCACTTTTAAAAGACTATGGAAACCTGGAGGGTTACCAAAAAATCAGAAAGAAAAGCTTTATGTTAAAATAAAATGATGATTAAATTGAAAATCAGGCCATAATGCTGATAATACATTTTTACTTGGATAAACAAGGCAGCTTTGTCTTTCAAAATTATGTCTATCTGACCTCATTTGTTTCTTGATAATTTGATAAGCAACTATACAATTTGTGCACTATCCACACACCAGACTGAATTTATGGGAAGCATTTTTATTACTGGAAATAACTGCAGAGGGGGTTTTTGCAGTGGGCCTGGGTGAGCAGAGGGTAGACTAATTAGAGACCTGGGGGATAGACAACACTGCCTTCCTCTAGCACAGCTGTTCTCAAGTGTGGTCGCAGGACCAGGAGCATCAGCAACAAATGGGAACCTGTTAGAAATACAAATTCTAGACTCCACATCAGAAGTACTGAATCAATCTGGAACTGTAGCGGGTGGGCACAGCCATCTATGTTTTTAGCAGGCTCTCCCGAGGATGTGAGGTGTGCCCCAGTGAGAACCACCGCTCCACTAAAATGAAAGCTCTGTGGGACTATATTTGTTAAATAAATTATTTTTTAAAAAGCTTTTTCTTCAATGAAGTCGAATTAAAAGATATCTCAAATCATCATTTTTAGGTATTTTTAATGTTGGCAAATAATTTCATTTATAGAAGTTAAACTTTGTTAAAACCTTCACTAAAATGAGTGAATTCTTAATCAAATCTAGAATCAGTTGTATTTGAAAATCAAAACGTTCTTTAAAAATATATTTCAAAAATTTATAGAGAACCATAAGTGATCCCAAATAGCCTCAGCAATTTTGAGAGAGAAGAGCAAAGTAAGAGGGATCATAATACCTGATATTAAACTATAATACAAGACAACTCTAATCAAATCAGTCCGGTACTGGCATAAAAACAGACACACAGATCAATGCAATAGAATAGAGAGCCCCAAAATAAACCCATGCCAATACAGTCAGTTAATATTTGACAAACAGGGCAGGAACATAAAATGGAGTAAAAATAGGCTCTTCAACAAATGATGTTAGGAGATCTGGACAAGTACATGTAAAAAAATGAATAGACCACCAACTTATACCATACATAAAAATAAATTCAAGGTGGATAAAACACTTAAATATAAATTGTGACACCATAAATGTCCTAGAGAAAAACAGAGGCAGAAAAATTTCAGATATTCCACACAGCACTATTTTCACCAATACATCCCCTATGGCAAGCGATATAAAGAAAAGAATAAATAAATGAGATCACATCAAACTAAAAAGCTTCTGCACAGCTAAAGAAAACAACATTAAAATGAAAGGGAACCAAATGTATGGGAAAATATATTTGCCAATGATACCTCAGACAAGGGTTTGATCTCCAAAGTATATAAAGAATTCACATGACTCCACACCAGGAAGACAAAAAAAAAACAATTACAAAATGGGTAAAGGACTTTAACAGACATTTCTCCAAGGAGGACATACAGAGGGTCCATAAATACATGAAAATATGCTCAACATCACTAGCCATCAGAGAGATGCAAATTAAAACCACAATGAGATACTACTTCAGACCAGTCAGAATGGCCATCATAAACAAATCAACAAACAAGCCCTGACAAAGGATGTGGAGAAAAGGTTACCCTAGTGCACCGTTGGTGGGAATGCAGACTGGTGCAGCCACTATGGAAAACAGTATGGAATTTCCTTAAAAAACTAAAGATGGAACTACCTTTCAATCCAGTGATCCAACTGCTGGGGCTATACCAAAAATATCATGAATCATCAATTCAACAGAGACTATGCACCCCAACGTTCAGAGCAACATTATTTATAATATGCAAGTGCTGGAAACAGCCTAAGTGCACATCAGTAAATGAATGGATCAAAACACTGGTACAGCCCTGGCTGGTATAGCTCAGTGGATTGAGCGCGGGCCTGTGAACCAGACAATTGCGGTTCAATTCCCAGTCAGGGCACATGCCTGGGTTGCAGGCCGGTTCCCTGCAGGCCAGTTCCTAGCAGGGGACGCACGAAAGGCAACCATACATTGATGTTTCTCTACCTCTCTCCTTCTCTTCCCCTCTAAAAGATAAATAAATAAATAAATAAATAAATAAATAAATAAATAATAAAAAAAACTGGTACATTTACACAGTGGAATACTGTGCAGCAGAACGAAAAAAAGGAACTCCTACCCTTTGGGACTGCCTGTGTAGAACTAGAGCACATTACGCTAAGTGAAATAAGCCAGGCAATGAAAGACAAATACCGTATGATTTCACCTATAAGTGGAACCTAATGAACAAAACAAACAAATGAGCAACACACAACTAGAGACTTGGAAATAAAGAACAAAGTGACAGTGACCAGAGGGGAGGGGGTTGGAGGATAACGGGGAGAAGAAGGGCATAAATGCAAGCAAATCAACAGAAATAGAGGACACATGGGCATGAACAATGCGGGGTGTTGATCGTGGGAGTGGGGAGGGAGTGTAGGGGTGAGCAATGGGGAAAAGGCAGGATAACTGTAGCTGAACAACAATAGAAAAACATCATGACGATCATTATGTAACTAGTTTTGAATTTGCAGGTGGGTAGTCTGTTGTTGCTGTTGTTGTGGGGATGTTATATGAGGAGAGATTGGTCTTAAAAAAGGGTTCTGTCACCTATCATCAGTAACTGGCATAAATCATTTTCTTAATTTAATCATTTAAACTTTCAGCTATCACTTCATGTTTTTCAGCATGATATATTCATGGAATTCTGCATCACAAGACAACTCTAGCACTTTACAGAGGTTTAATTCATATGTCCTGGGTGGGGCAAAAAGCAGGTTTTCAGCTGTGGTCACTTATTCTTATTCTATCACTTATTAGTTATTGTATTACATTCCATATAAAATCTGTAAACCTACTTTTGCCCCCCACATGTGTATAACCTTCAAAAGATATGTTTTATTTTTTCAAAACCATTGTTTACAGAGAATGAACAAAATGAAAAATATGAGAAAATAACAACGTTTGTATGGGTAAACGCTAAACTTTTATTGCCAGTTAACCCAGGGAACACGTGCCAAGGGGAAAATTTATGAACCTCAAGGGGCAGAGTAATGGCCATCCTTGTTTCACAAAGTACAATTTCAGGAGAGACACTTTTATTGTACTTCTGTTTGAATTATAAACTTTCATACAAAATAGAAAATTGGGCAAAGTAATACATTTGAACTCTAGAATACCATTGAGTATAGCCTCGCCAAGAAACATTACTTTAAAAAAGTATTTTAATTTATCTGCAAGAGGAAACCTGTCAGCACAACCTTAAAATTGTCCAAAAGCCAACAAAAAAACTTAAATACTTTAATGCCACTTAGTGTTATACATGTCCTTTATATAATAATTACTAGTTCACGTGCTAACATTAACAAAAGAACTATAAAAATGCTAGGAAATGAATCCAAAAGCCATCTTTGGAAAGAAATGATAACCCATGAGGGGACAATCACTTTTCCTGAATGCCATCTGTGGGGTTAACCATGCCAATAACGCTGACACCATGAGCATCCAAAACAGGAAAAAAGAACCATAGAACAGAGGACCGGGCAGCAGGGAAGTTACGGTTCTACGGCATTTAAGCTCCTACATACAAGATAATGTCAAAGAGTGCCCTAAGCTATTGATTTAAGTCCACTACACTTTTACTTGAAAATTCAACTGTTACTAATGCCTTCATCCATCTTCTGGTTTAATCTTTGAGGAAGAAACCCAGCAAGTTCCTAAGTGCTCTTCTCCCATTTCCTCCAGCTTTAACACTAGGCTCAGTCAACCCCCATTTGCTTCCAAGTTTGATTCTGTCCCTTTGGCTTGCTCTCTTCTATCCCAAAAATTCTGAAAAGGATCAAACCTCTTATTTTCATAACCGCCTATTTCTCTCCAGTTGATCCTCACCAAACTTCCTTTTCTGTCTGCATTGCACTCCAATGATTGGTGCAGTGGCTGTGCCTTTTCAACACATTTTGGATGAAGATACTGTATCTTCTTCTTTATCTAGGACAACAGCTATACACAATGGCTAGCTTAAAATGGATGTCTAATAAATATTAGGTTAATTAAGTTAAAAAGTGCTTTAGTATTATTTTGCCTGCGCAGTTCTTTGTTATCACATCCCCCGTTTTTGTGAAACTGCACAGAAATCTGCCATCTTCCCCTCCACCATTTGTAGGTGATTGGTCCTAAGTTGGTACCTGACCCACCAACTGAGCCAATCAGAATCCTTTCTGTGCACATTTGGAATCAAAACTAAGCAAACTGTACTTGGTAGTTTATTAACTAGAAAAGGGCCAAATCCAGGAGGTATACGCTGCCATATGGCATTAGAATTAAAATATAATAGTCTGCACAAAAAGAGAAGATAGCACATAAAAAGAACTGAGAAATGGGGACAGAGAGAGCCAATAGCATTCACACCCTTGTTTCTAATTAGTTACCAAGTCCTAAGTCTTAGCTGTACCATCTCCGGTCATTACAGATATTTCCTTTTTTTTTTAAAATTTAAGCTGTATCCTGTAAATTCATGTCTCTGTAATAAAACATTCTGTACACTGTAGGTGCTAGAACCATGGGTCATATATTGTTAATTGCTTTTATTTTAATAAGAGAAAAGGATATTTTCAGAGGAAAAGATCCAAAATAGAAAGCTAGCATGGAAATGTCACTTGAAATCAGACAGAACAAATACACCGCATCAGTGTACACAGAGAACAACCTAGTAGGAGAATCATCTGCATATGAGAAGTGGCTGCTAACCATTGCTTTGGATTTCTGCATTTCTGTATATTATCCAAGGACAAAATTTCTAGGCATGTATTATACCATGTGAGATTAGAATAACAATGTATGAAATATTATCCCGAAAATGTTCCATCCAATACTGTTCGAACTAAAATGTAAAAGTGTACTCCACTGTGGCACTTAACGTATTTTTAACTGAGAAATATGAATGGGTCCAAAGCAACCATGAAAAAAGTTGATAGCACAAATCCTTTGTCAATAAGTTGGCAGGAAGGTCATTTGATATAAATCATACATGCTGATTGTTAACTTGTGATAAACCTTGAGTACAACACTTGCAGCATGAGATACGTGATTTATATGCTGTGCTTCCACCAATGTTATGAAAAACTCTCTATGAACAATGGTTGTTAGTATCTACCGCACATTTGTTTCACCAAATATAAGGCTTTTACTTTCCATATTAATGAAAAGAAATAACTATATTATAAAGCAAACTATTATAGAGGACACTATTATAGATTCAGAAAAAAGCAAAGACAATCTCTGTAAGCTAGTGAATTATTGTTTTATAGTTTAATGTATTTTTTGGCTTCTAGATTTTTAATTTCAATGACCTTGAAACAACATAATTTAGTGCCGAATGTTTCAACACCCATTATAATCACTAAATGGTGAAATCAGCATTATTTATATCTGATCAGCTATACAAAAGTCAGCTTGCTTTGTTATGGAAAAGGCAGTAGATGTCCCAAAGAATAAGGGAGAGACCACTAATTAAAGGCTATGTTTACTAATCTAGCACCATAATTCCAGCCTCAGGACCCTCCAAGCAACTGGCAGGAGGAAGAAAAGAGGTGAGGGTGTTGGAAACATGAGGACAGTTCTTAACTTGTGGCCCCTGTGTGCTCGAAGGCCACGCAGGGTGGAGCAAAGGCAGAGACTGGAGAGTAAGACACGGGCTTTTGGTTCAGATCCAGGAGGAAGCCCGCGAGGACAGCAGGGTCAGGACTGCCAGGGCGCAGGGCTGGAACGCGCCTCATGAACAGGGCGGGGCGGGGGGGTGCTTCTTCTGGGCATCCAAGTCTTTTTCAATTTCTTCAAGCATTTTAGCCAGGTTTGGTATGTCATAATTCTGAGCCAGATACATTCCAACCCAGTTGCCAAAAGTAAATTCAAGCAGGAATTGGAGCATGATGTCGGCAAAGATGGTAATAACGGTGGTGACAGCTCAGTGGGCCGTCAATATCCTGCCTCTCCTGCTGCCAGGGGCGGGACCTGCCTTCAGCTAGTTTGATGTACTTTAATAGCAAACATACGGGAACGGCACAGGAGACAGCATTAAATACGTGTAGTTGCGTGTAGGACAACTCAAAAAAGTATGGTGAATAGATGGTATTCACTGTGTGATAAAAATGCTGCAAACACCCTTTAGTTGCCATCAATAAGAAATTTACTTGTTAAAAAAATCCAAATGCTGGCATTGTCCAGGTTTATTTATATTGTTATAAAGTTGAACTGCTGAAACTTGTTCACTGAAACATTTTGACTTGCATTAATGCTTTTTGTCCCCGCATATATATGTATTTTAAAAATATATACATATATTTAAACAATTTGCACACAAATGAAAATAGGAAAACTACCAATCTCTGTTTTCTGTCTATTTTCTACTTGCAATCATACACTTAGGTAACTTTTGACCCCACCAAAAATATGTATCAAAAATTCAGAACTATCAATAACAAGAAAAAAAGAACTCTTTTTATACTTCCAAATATGGATCATATTTATTAAACACACACACAACAAGCTGACATTCAATCATTAGTAATTTTAAGCAACTGTGGACAAATTCTCCCAACAGTTATCTGAACTCGAGGCTCAGCTTTTTTCCAGCTTCACTGACGTGTGCTTTAGCTTTGATGATAGGGGCCGATGTTATTCACACACAGAAAAGCCATCCTCCTATGCATCAGGGTCTCACAGACACAGTTAGTTATGTGTGACTTTCCCTTACTTCTCTGAAATAGATTCTTCCAAGTGTGGGCAGTGAAATAAATCCATTATTCTTTCTGTTTCTTCACATCCACATCCTGCCAACAGAATACTTCTATTTCTTTGCCTAGGCCAGCTCTTGGATAACCAAATATTTCCTTTGCAAGAGGTACCTCTGTGGTTGCCAGCAGCTCAGCTGCTGCATGTCGATTTAAAAAGGGGCCATGGAGAAGATTTTTTAAAGAATGAAATGTTTTCCATCATAGTGGATTCTTAAGCACATTTCCCATGTTCATGGTGGGCTAGCTGGATGTCTTTTGGTATAATTGTTAAGTGTTTGGTATGGATAGCACACAGGTTGGTGTTTTCAAAAAAACCAACCAGTTTGGCTTCACTTGCCTCCTGCAGAGTACTAATAGCTGAACTCTGAAAGGGCAGATCTGTTTTGAAATCCTGAGTAGTTTCTCACACCAGACACTGGAAGGGAAATCTGCAAATAAGAATTTCAATGGACTTCTGATAACATCTAATTTCAGGAAGGGCCACAGCACTAGCCCTGTGATGATGAGGTTTCTTTGCCCCTCCAGTAGAAGGTGTGCTCTTGTGAGTGAGTGGCTTTGGTAGCCAGTGGCTTCCTTGGTGCTCTTCCACTGGTGGATTTGTGGGCAGTCTGCTTTGTCCCAGCCATGGTATAGAGACCTTTTTACTCACCCACTTCTCCTTCAGCTGGGGCTAGAGGAAGCAATGACATTTGAGAACAACTGTGGCTGTGAACACCGCTACTGAATTATTAACTAATTTTCCAACAACATATAGTCATTGGCTTGCCACAATTTCTGTATGGCTGCAATTAATCTTAAAGTAAAAAACAAATCATTTTCCAGACTGAATAATTGCTCATGACAATAAATGGCTGAGTGCCAGCAGAAGGCCATAGAGTTGTGTACTTCGAAATGTATTCAATGGAACTCTCAAATACAGAAAATCATTTTTCAAGAGTACTTTGTGGAACATGTTTCATGTCTCACGTTTCCTTAAAAGTGATAACTTACCAAAAATTCCCCAAGACAAAGGTCTGGTTTACAAAGTCAGCCAAGGACGAAGAGATCAAAGGAAATCCCTGAGGCCTTACTGAATGTAAACGGCAGCTAAGAAGCAGAAAAACTCTAAAATTCCTCTTAGAGATGGAACAGGAACTTAGAAGAGCCCAGGCATCTGCAAGTGAGGGTGGCAGCTTCCTGTCTATGGCTATGTGTGTCTTCAACAGGTGACTGGAGACATGACTTGGGGTGGTGAACACACAGTACAATATACAGATGATGTGTTAGAGAACTGTACACCTGAAACCTATAAAATTTTAAAACAATGTCACCCCAGTAAATTTATTAAAAATAAAATAGAATAATTTTTTCCTGATTAACCACCCCCTCAAAAAAAGGGAACCAGAAATGTCTCAACATGTCTATGCTTGCCCCTCTGTCACACATCCAGAAAATATACAAGTACTGAGTCATGTTGTGGGCACACCCAGAGACGTGAAAAGGAAACTGCACATAGTCAGGAGCCTGCCCCGAAGTGTCCTGTACTTCCTCGGTGACTTCAATGGTCTAAGAATAACTTTTAATTCTTTCAGTTTTATGTGTTTTACATGCTGTGACCACACTTCATGAAAGTGTCATAGTATTCTGCCTACCGGATGGTACTCTTGAGGAACCAGACTGGAACTACATTGCGAAAACACATTCATGCTTTTTGTTTGCTCCTGTGGCTGTTGTATTACTATGGCAATTTGAAGAGATTCCTAATGCCTTCAGTATAGTGTCCAAGCTAGCTTATAAAATGAAAGCACTTTTATTTATATCAGCCTAGCTTCAATAGTTGACAGTGTGGTCGGTGCAAATACTCTAAAACTGTTTATTACCTGAAGGCAGGTGTTCATTATACTTTCAAATTACAAAAAAGCAAAAATCTTTTATTCTCTATGTTAATGTTTATATGTCTTATTCTTTTAGTTGTTCCTTTTAAAACACATTTACATATGTTTTAAAATCTAATCTCTTTTGAATTAGCTCTTAACTAGCTGTAAACTTAATCTCAGGTACAAAAGAGGGCTTAGAAATCAGAAAAATTTAGATCTCTAAATGCCAGAATAAAATGGAAAAGACACCATTACCTGGACTGCTGGTATCTAAAAGTGGTCTTTTAGAAAAGCACCAGAGAGAATAGCTGTAAGGAGACTATGGCCAAATGGTGTCTGTCTGAATCAGGCAAGTTATAAATATGTTCTGTACAAATCTATACTCAGAAAGAATCAACCCTGATGTTGCAAAGATTTCTAGGAGGGTTAATTCTGTCTCACAGAATTTTTCCCTGCTAAATTCCTCCAATGAAGACTTAAGATTTAATAGTTTCCATTTCTCTAAGCAATTCTTCACTTAGAATAAGAAAAATGTTTTACTTATAGATATCTATGCTTGTAAATTTTCTACGATGTATGAAATTAGTTTGGCAATACAATTTTTCTATATTCTGTGTAGTAAGGTTATATCCTCAAAAATCCCTGAGGCCTCTAAGTTCCACTTACAAATTACTAAGTATTGAACATATCAAGCAAAAAGTAGTAACAATACAATTCTTATTGGCTATTTCCACAAACTTAAAATTGCCCATATTAAAGCTTAAAGGTTAAATTAGATACAAGTTCCAAATAATGAAGAAAACTTACATGTAGTTAGTTAAGAACTAAACAGGTTTCTTTTGTTCTTCTGTTGTCATATTTTTATTTATAATGAAGAAATACAGCTCTAGATTATAGCGGAAATCAAATAATTCTAAGTCTGGATAATACATTTGACCTGTGCAATATATTTACATAGTGTTTTTCATTTATGAACATGACTAAAGAAATGTTCTTTTTTTTTACTCTAGAACCCTTGTTCGTTTTTCACTAAGGCTTTCTCTTAAGACATCACTAAACTGTGTCATCACCACCCCACAAAACTTTAAGTGTTTAGTGGGGTTAGTACAGTGAATGTGGTAAAGGAAATGTGAACAGTTTTTAAAGGATTGGAACCAACATTAACTGACAAAGAAAAACTTCCTTCTAAATCAACATAAAAGTGCTTAAGTAAAAAAAAGAAGAACAAAAAAAGGGAGTGATGGAGGTTTCAGTTAGAACAAGATCCTCACATTTCATCTAATACATTCACAATCTTGGCTAGAGCGTACCAACATGGAATCAGGATGACTGTAATAGAAAACTTCCACTACAGAATGACTTCCACTACAGAATGCTGTACACGCCTATATTCTGTGTCCACTCTTGCCCTGCTGATGCCTCCAGCACAACCATTTCCTGGCCTGCTGGCCCTGCGGACGAAGGAGCACACAGTCTCTTTAATTCAGTTTTTGTTACAAGGCTGGGATGTCTGGGTATCAGGTTGGTCAATGAGGTAGCTGAGGTTGGCCAGATAGTCAATAAACTCAAACAACTGACTGAAATCATATGTGATAAAAGGGCTGTTGGGATTCATTCTCTTCAGATGTTCTTCCTACATTTTATAAATGTCTTCTATGCATTCATTCACAGATGCTAGTCAGCATAACTTTTGCCTTCAGGTCTCCAGGGAGCTGTACTAGCAAAATGGTCTGAGCCATCCTGCCAAATTCTTTCACTGCAGATGGCACGGCCAGTGCCCAACCAGCAATGCTTCTGAAACACCGGTTCTCCAAGTGTCTCAGGTCAGACACCGGATTAAACAATGGTTAACAAGTTTCTTTGCATTATGAGTTAGCAAAGTTTATTTGTACTGAGAATTTTAAGAGTGAGAATAAATATACACCATTTTACAAGTGAATTTGGTCATGGCCCAAATAGTGGGGATCATAAGAACGTGGGGAACATTTCTCCATCAATACTAAGCCACTAGCTTCTAAATAATCAGTTTCATTAAACAGGGTTCAACAACCTTTGGTGTCAGAAAATTATTACTGGTACAAAATTTAAACTTCCTTTATTGTATTTTTTCTCACACTCGCTTCTCATCACAGGCACGGATTTGTTAACCATATGTTTAAACAATCTTTTAGCAGTCAACATACAGGATTACAATTTTACATTTGCAAATCACTGCAGGACACCAATCAATAAGCAGACTCTGCAATCTCATCTTGAATGTGATTTAAACTTAAATGTGGACTAGTATTATTAAAAATGCCAATAAAAAAGAAGGATCATTTTAATTCCAGTATGTTTGTAGCTTTGCTGTAACATATCAGAAAACCAGGGAGGGAAAGAGAAGCAAGAAACAAAAAATAAGTATAACTGTTATTCTAAAATTTTGTAATCATGGATAGTACTATATTTAATTAAAAGTCTAATTCCAAAATCAAAATAAGTAAATTAACTAAATATCTGTCTTAGGTACTTGTCATTACCTAAGGCATAACTTGCCAACTTAAGTAACTTTTCTCATTATTCTTTCTTCCTCTTTTCTTTCACAAAATTATTAATGTAACCATTCAATTTATAGTCTCTAAATCTTGATTATAAAGTGTTAGGGCTTTGAGCCTTCAAGAGCTAGAGACCCACAGGGTCTGGTTATAACCATTTGGAATCTAATTATTTACATTCCAAAGATACCCATGTTACATTTGATTTTTAAAAAAGAAAGAAAAATCTGTTTTTTTTTAAACAAAAACAATTTTTCCTAGAAGGATACGTTTAACATCAAATATTAAGCTAAAGTTCAGGTCCAATATCCTAATATTCAAAAAATCATACAAAATTTGAAACAGAAAGTATCTTAAGTTACAAATTCGTATCACTTTATTTTTTATGCATTCATTTATTTCTGTTGGTCAGTGACCCTTGATATTAGAAACATTTCTCGGCCCTGGCTGGCGTAGCTGAGTAGGTTGAGTGCGGGCCTGCAAACCAGAGTATCGCGGTTGGATTCCCAGTCAGGGCACATGCCTGGGTTGCAGGCCAGTTCCCATCAGAGGACAGACAGGAGGCAACCATACATTGATATTTCTCTCCCTCTCTCCTTCCCTTCCCCTCTAAAGATAAATTTAAAAAAAATACTTGGCTTTAATTAAAAAAAGAGAAACATTTCTCTATATTACTTTGATTGGCAGTCTTGAATTATACTTGAAATATGAATCATATTTTATCAGCATTTTATTTTTTCACTTTTTCATTGAATTTATTGGAGTGACACTGATGAATAAAATTATATGGTTTTCAGATGTACAATTCTATAACACATCACCTGTACACTGTATTGTGTGTTCACAACCCCAACTCGGTCTCCTTCTGTCACCGTATATTCCCCCTTCACCCTCTTCTCCCACACCTCACCCACCTTCCCTGGGGTAACCCCCACACTGTTGTTGCTGGTCTCTGTCTATGAGGGTTTTTTTCATACAGGCCCCGACAATCTCCCCTCTGACAGCTGTCAGTCTGTTCTCTGAATCTATGAATCTGTTTTCATTTTGCTTTTTTATTTTGTTCATGAGATTCTACATATAAATAAAATTCTATGCCTCCTGTCTTTCTCTGACTGGCTTATTTCACTTAGCATACTGCTCTCCAGGCCAATCCATGCTTTCGCAAATGGTAAGATTTCCTTTTTTTTAGGGATGGATAGTGTTCCATTGTATAAATATACCATAGCATTTTTTACCCATTCATCTACTAATGAACGCTTGGGCTGCTTCCAAATATTGAGTATTGTAAATATGCTGCAATGAATATAGGGGTGCATGTATTATTTCAAATTAGTGTTTTGGATTTCTTTGAATATATTCCCAAGTATGAAATCTCTGGGTCATAAGGTAGTTCCATTTTTAATTTTCTGATGTAACTCCATATTCCTTTGCACAGGGGCTGCACCAAGCTGCAACCTCACCAACAGTGCACTACGGTTACCTTTCTCCACATCTTTTCTGGCACTTGTTGTGTGTGGATGTACTGATGGTAGTCATTCTGACAGATGTGAGGTGATATCTCATCATGGTATTAATCTGAATTTCTCTGATGATTAGTGATGTTAAGCATCTTTTCATATGTCTATTGGTCATCTGTATGTCCTCTCTGAAGAAGTGTCTAATCAGTTTCTTTGACAATTTTTTAAATAAATTGGTTTTTGTGTGTGTTTGTTGAGTTACATGAGTTCGTTATACATTTTAGATATTAAAGCCTTTTCAGATGTATCATTGTTGACTATGTTCTCCCATTCAGTGGGTTACCTCCTCGTTTTGTTGATGGTTTCCTTTGCTGAACAAAAACTTTTAAATTTGATGCAGTCCCATCTGTTTATTTTTTTCTTTTTTCCCCTTATCCAAAGTGATATATCAGAAAAATATATTGCTGTGAGAAATGTCCTAGATTTTATTGCTAATTTATTTTTGTAGGATTCTCATGGTTTTGAGTTTAACGTTTAAGTCTTTAACACATTTTAAATTTCTTCTTGTGTGTGGTATAAGAAGACAGAATAGTCCTTCCTTCCTTGCTTCCTTATTTGCACATATCTGTCCATATGAATTCAGCTCTGTGTGGTCGGCACCTGCGCAGCAACTTGCATACCATGGTCAGGGTTGAGCCTCATAGTCAGCCAGCCTGAGGGTTAATTCCACATACAAACAAGCCAATAGCATTCAAGACTCAAATACAACAGAAGGGCCCACATAATCCACACAAGGGAAATAGCTGGAGCACCTAGCTATGGGTGTTCCAAAGAAGGCTAAACAACTTGACCCCACAGTATATGTACTACATAAGGCCAACTCACCAAGACTGGGAGTCATCTATCTAATGGAAATAAACACAAAGAGGCAAACAAAGTGGGGAGACAAAGAAACCGGCACCAAATGAAAGAACAGGAGAAATCTCCAGAAAAAGATTTAAATGAAATGGAGGCAAGCAATTTATCAGCTACAGAGTTCAAAGTAATGGTTATAAGGATGGTCAATGGCATAAAAAAGACAAGGAAACCACAAACAAAGAACCAGTCAGAAATAAATACAATATCAGAAATGAAAATATACTGGAATAAACAGCAGGTTGGATGAGCAGAGGATCGAATCAATGATTTGTAAGACATGGTAGGAAAAAACACCCAATAAGAGCAGGAAAAACTAAAAATGGATTTAAAAAATGAGGTTAGTTTAACATACTTTTCGGACAACACGAAGCATAAGAATATCAGTATCATAGGGTATCAGAGTGACAAGAGAGAAAGCAAGGGATCAAGAACATATTTGAAGAAATAATGACTAAAAACTTCCCTAACCCAGTAAAGGAAAAATGTCAAATCCAGAAAGCACAGAGAGTCCCAAAGAAGATGAACCCAAAGAGGCCCACACCAAGACACATCAAAATTAAAATGCAAAATGTTAAAGACAATCAAAATCAGCAAGAAAAAGAGAGTTACCTACAAGGGAGCTCCCATAAGATGGTCAGAGGATTTTTCAACAAAAACATTTCAACATTTCAGCCCAGAAGTAATCAGCCTGAAATATTCAAAGTGATGAAAAGGAAGGCTCTACAACTACTTTACCCAGAAGTCTGGGAAGACTACTTTACCCAGCAAATTTATCATTTAAAATTTAAGGGGAAGTACACCCTGGCTGGTATAGCTTAGTGGATTGAATGCGGGCCTGAGAATCAAAAGGTTGCTGGTTTGATTCCCAGTCAGCTCATATGCCTGGATTGAGGACCAGGTCCCCAGTGAGGGACGCTCGAGAGGCAACCACACACTAATGTTTCTCTCCCTCTCTTTTTCCTTCCCTTCTCCTCTCTTTAAAAATAAATAAATAAATAAATAAATAAATCTTTAAAAAAGAAAAAGGGTTAGAAAATAAAAATAAAATTTAAGGAGAAATAAATAGCTTCCCAAACAAAAGTACATAACCCTTGTAAATATTTATGTACTCAACCTAGGAGCACCAAAGTATGTAAAGCAGATGAAATATACATAAAGGGAGAGGTGGATAGAAATATGGTCATAGTTGGGGATTTCAACATTCCATTGACATCAGTGGACAGATCTTCCAGGGAGAAAATCATAAGGAGACAGTGGATTAAATGACGCACTAGATCAGATGAATTTCATTGATATCTTCAGAGCATTTCACCCAAATGCTGCTGAATATACCTACTTTTCAAGTACACATGGAACATTTTCTGTGATAGACCACTTGCTGGGACATAAAACAAGTCTCAATAAATATAAAAAGTTTGAAATCATATCAAGCATCTTCCCTGACATAATGATATGAAACTAGAAATCAATCACAACAATACTAAAAAAACACACAGAAACATGAAGACTAAATAACATGTTACTGAAACAATGAATGGTTTAACAATGAGATCAAGGAAGAAATCAAAAGGCACCTTGAAACAAATTAAAATGAGAACACAAAACCGAAAATCAATGGAACACAGAGAAAGCAATCCAAAGAGGAATATAAATTCACGATATTACATGCCTATTTCAAGAAACAAGAAAATTTTCAAATTAAACTAGCTAACCTTAAACCCAAAGGAACTAGAAAAATAACAACAAACAAAGCCAAAAGTGAGTAGAATAAAGGAAATAGTAAATATCAGAGCAGAAATAAACAAAATAAAGTAAAAAACAATACAAAAGATAAATAAAACCAAGAACTGGTACCTTGAAATGATAAATAAGGTTGACAAACCTTTAAGCAGACTCATCAAGAAAAATAGAGAGGGGGCCAAAATAAATAAATTAGGAAGAAAAAGGGAAAGTAACAAATGACACAAATGAAAATACAAAGAATTATAAGAAAATATTATGAACTAATAAATTATTAATAAAATATTATGCTAATAAATTACACAATCTGGAATAGACAGATAAGTTCTTAGAAACATACAATCTTCCAAACCTGAATCATGAAGAATCAGAGAATCTTGACGGACATATTACAATGAGTGAAATTGAAACAGTAATCAAAAATTACCAACAAAGTCCTGGAATAGATGGCTTCACAGGTGAGTTTTACCAAACATTCCAAGAGAAAATAACTCACACCCTCCTCAAACTAATCCAAGAATTTCAAGATGAGGGAAGGCTCAAAAGTTCAGTTTAGGAACCCAGCATTATCCTAATTCCAAAATCAGATAAAGACACTACAAAGAAAGAAAATAGTAGGCCAATATCCCTGATGAACATAAATGCCAAAATCCTGAAAAAATATTAGCAAACTGGGTCTAGTAGTACATTAAGAAGATCATACACCATGATGAAGTGAGATTTGTCTCAGGGACACAAGGTTGGTACAACATTCACAACTCAATAAATGTGATTTACCACATAAACAAAATGAAGAATAAAAACTATATGATCACATCAGTAGATACAGAGAAAGTATTTATGAAAATCCAGCACCCATTTATGATAAAAACTCTCAGCAAAGTGAGACTAGAGGAAAAATACTAAAACAAAATAAAGGTTATATATGAGAAACTCACACTCAACATCATACTCAATGGGCAAAATCTATGAGCATTTTCTTTAAGATTGGGATTAAGACTGGGATGTTCACATTCATCACCCTTATTCAACACAGTACTGAAAGTCCTAGCCATAGCAATCAGACAAGAAAAAGAAATAAAAGGCATCTAAACTCATTATTTGCAGATGACATGGTACTTCATACAGAGGACCCTAAAAACTCCACCAAAAAACTACTAGAACTGATAAATTCAGTAAAGTAGCATGATACCAAAACAATATCGAGAAATCAGTTACATTTTTATATAGCAATAATAAACTATCAAAAAGGAACACTAAGAAAGCAATCCCATTTACAAGTGCATCAAAAAAATACCTAGGATATTAAAGACCTGTACTTAAAATTTTTTTCCAAGGATATAAAAGACCTGTACTCAAAAATTTTTTTCAGAAACTGAATAAAGAAATTGAAGAAGATTTAAATAAGTGGAAGCATATGCTTGTCCATGGGGAGGAATAATTAACATTATTAAAATTTCCATACTACCCAAATCAATCTATAGATTCATCACAATTCCCATTAAGATACCAATGGCTTATTTCACAGAACTAGAATAATATTCCAAACGTTTATATGAAACCACAAAAAAACCCAAACAGCCACACCAATCTTGAGAAATAAAAAAAAAGTTGAAGGAATCATACTTCCTGATATCAAACTATACTACAAGGCCACAGTAATCAAAACAGCATGGTACTGGCAGAAATAACAGCCATATAGATCAATGGAACAGAATAGAAAGTCCAGAAATAAACCCATGCATTTATGCTCAATTACTATTTAACAAAGAAGGCCAAAACATACAATGGATACTCTATTCAATACATGGTGTTGTGAGAACTGGACAAATACTTGCAAAAAAGAGAAACCTATTACTTTATAGATAAGAAAAATGAAGCATTAATCATAAATTTATTATCCTTCCATATTGATCTCCCAATTGAAAGAGACATCAGAATTTATCTGCCTGGAGTGGGGAATACATACATAGCATGTCCAACTGTCGAGTGGCTGTAACATTTCCTTACACTATCAGGGACAGTGGTATTTGAGTCTCCCCAGAAGTAGGAAATTCAAAATCAAGGAAAAACCTTTTTCTTTCAGCATTTGAATCCTGTTCTGTTATTGTTGTGGGCTAGCTTTTCTCTAAAAACAGGTAATCTTGGATGAGTGTTCTCATAAGGCCCGCACCCCTCTTCACAGGTCCTGTGTTTTATATGATTTAATTAATTTATTATTTTTCTCTGAACCAAATTACACTTCTCCACATCTTTATTTAAAATAGGAAGACTTAAATAAAATGTAATTCTGTGCTCTCATGATGTATGTCCAGTGTTAAATAGGGGGGAGGTTTTACCCCTCCTTGTCTATCATAACTTCATAGCCTGTTAGTGCTTGCCTATATTATATTTCTTATTTCTATGATTTAATTATCTTATTTTTGGTCCACTGTGAGTGGGAATCTCAATCTGCAGAATGTTACAGGGCTACCTCTTAACTGAGCATACTGTTGAGGACAAAAGAAGAACGATACAAAGAGACAATGTAAAGATCATTTTTATTTGGTACTTGAATGAAATCATGCAACACTCAAGATCACATGGAAGGAAGCCCACTAGCCTAATACCGTCACTGCACACGCAGAGAAATAGCGAACAGAAACTGAAGTGACTAACCAAAATCCTAGGGCTGCCGACAAAGGTGGAACTGAAATCTGGGGCTTCTCTTCCCTCTTCTGTCTTCTGTATCATGCTGCCACGGATCCCCGGCATTCAGGCCTCACCGAGATGGCACGTTCCTGGTCACTGTTGTGAACTCCACAATGATCCTGGTTATGGTTATTGACTCAACAGTGATAAACCAGCACTCGCTGTTCAATGCTTTCTATTTAATTACTAAACAATAGTTAGTGGAGTGTATGGACCATTTGCATGGGGACTCATTTCCTAACTGCTTATTCATTTTATTTTATAATTTGTTAAGCAATGATATTTAATAATGCAGTTATGTGGTTAACAAGTACACACTGGTTCTGTTACAAGAATCAATGTTATTTTTTTAAAAGTTAGTGGTACATTCCATATCCTCCAAACATCTAAAGAGGAAAAGCTAATAGATTGTGTAATATTCCCAGAAGGTAAAGTAAATAACCAACAAAAGAGTAAAGTAAAAGGTGATCTTATGTTTAAAATGTTTCTGGGCTTTGTTTGATGGTCTCTTGGTTATTTTTTGTGAGTAGAGAGGATTGTTTATTTTATTTTATTTATTTTATTTTTATTTCTTCCTGCCCTTCCTATAACAAACTTATCTAGAACCTCAGCTTTTTGACTACTACACAATGCTGTGGAAAATGTAATTATTCCTCAGTTATCCTAACTATTTCTCTCATGGAGAAATATCTAAATTTCCATTTGGAAAAATGAGCTGAGGTAAAAAGAGAAGATAAATTCAAAAGTCATCCATTTGAAATATCAACACTTCATCTGATATTAACCAGAGTAAGACTGAAACTATTGAAAAAATTATGTATATTGGGTAATGTGCTCACACTACCTTTGATGTTTGTTTTCCCATTAAAGGACTGAGTTCAGAAGGGTGGCATTCCAAACACTGGAGACTGTGCTCAAAAAAGGAACCTAATGATACTTGTTCTTTAGTAGTTCCTGAGTTGGGCTTTGTACCCAAGCAGACACACTTCTCGTACATGTACCTAACTTGACAGGAAAGAGTAAAACACACAGTTCCATGTAATTTTTATTTTTTCAAGAAAAAAAATACACAACTGAATAAGAAAGCGGCCAAATACATACATTTCAAAAAATGAAAGTCCACGTTTAGGCTGTCAGAAAGTGGGGTCAATGTTTAGGGGTAGGGGACCTGGGGAAAAGAAGTAGGGAGGTAGGATGTGGGGGAAAGTCTTACAAAGTCTAAGCATAAGGCACAATGTCCCTAGCCAGTGAGAATGGATTTGATTGGGTTCTATTTGTGAATAAACCCGTAAAGGCAACCTATAACTAATCACAGTTGAAATTTATGCTGGCCTCAAATAATTGTATTCAGTTGCCTTACGCGTGAATCATTAGGCAGTCGATTCCAAAGAGTTATAGACAGGTCATTGACATGGCCCAACCAGATTTACACAGTCTATGAAAAGAATAAGAAAGTGCTTTATTTGATAACATCTTTGCTCTACTTTTTGATACATATGCTATACTGTATTCAAAGTCCTATACTGAGAAGACTGAAAGTGAGATTAGATTTTAGAATTAAAAAAAATAAGCAAGTACAGTTTTTAAACTTAAAATTGATTATAAAAACATTTTGGCCATTATTTTATGGCCAAAGTGCTACTACTATAGCCAAGTGCTACGATGCATGGAACTTAGCAGGTATCCAATAAGTGGGAGCTGAGAGTGACAACAGGTTAGATGGATGTTGGTTCATCTGAATAAGGACATTTATAACATAGTAGAAACATACTAGAGACTGCAGGGATTTGGGAAACAACCTGACTCGCGGACCGTAGAAGTAAAAATTCATTAGCAAGGTTGTCTGTGAAAAACGACAGGATAAAACAATGATATAGAAGTTAAAATTCAGAACAACTGGGAAGGATCCAAAGGAAAGGAAAAAAAATTAAGCTTTAAGTAACAAAGTTATAAGAATTAAGACTGTTTTGCCCAGACATATCAGAAAGACTTAAACCCATTAACATTTCAGGTATCAAATACCGTCAAATAACAAGATACTACAATAAATCCAATTCTGCACTTAAAAAAAATCAGTACTGGCCTGTTTCTTAAAATGATACATTAGTTTTAAAAGCACAGGTTTATTTTTTTTAGT